ACCCAGGCCTTCACACTGAGCTACATCTTAGCTCCTATTTTGTTTTATGTATTTAGACAGGGTTTTAGTAAGTGACTATATTACCCAAACTAGGCTCAAAGTTTCATTCCTCCTGTCTCAGCCTGCCGGAACCCTGGGATTATAGGCATGTGTCACCATGCCTGGCTTAAAGGCGATGTCACAAAACCTAGGGAAGAGCCTGACTGTGGATTATTTGGTTGGTCAGTTCACCAGCCTATAAATAAGTTGTCATAAGGGAGGAGTGATAGAGTAGCGTAGCCTTGCTTCTCCAGTATTACTTGAACGAGCAGGAAGACCAGGTGTATACGCTGAAGAAATTTGACCCGATGGGCACACAGACTTGCTCAGCCCATCCCGCTCAGTTCTCCCCAGATGACAGATACTCGCGACACCAAATCACCATCAAGAAGCGCTTCAAGGTGCTCAGGACCCAGCAGCCACACTCAGTCCTCTGAAGAAGGTTCCTTCTGTCTCCTGTCGTGTCTGCCTCCTGCTGCCCTTCGAGACTCCGTAAGCAGCTGTCAGTCAGTGAGCCCAGAAGGCTTCTTACCATCAGGGTCTTTGGAATCCAGTCTCTTCCTTGCCTTTGATAATTCAGTGAGTGTGTAGCAGTGATGGTGGCATTCCCATTAAAGGAAACAACTTTTGAATTATTGTCAGGTTATTAAAAATAAAATAACTCAAAAAATAAGTTGTCATAAGAAGAACAACCATCTCTTTGGCTGGTTTTGGTTTATGGAGGGCAGGCAGCTAAGGCTTCGGATGAATGACCTTGCTCAATCCTCAGTCGCTCATCTGGTAGATGCCGTTGCTGTTTCCCATTCTACAGCCAGAGTCTAGCACGGAGGCACAGAGGAGCTAAAGACCCTGAGTATAAAGAACAAAGCTAAGATTTCAACCTTGGCAAGTGACTTCACATCAAAGGATAGTCCTAGAGGTCATGGCAACTGAACACACTTCTCAGGGCTTAGGGCAGGCTCTGGGCTGACTTCCAAGCATTAGGTCTTTTGCCCACAGCCTGGATTGCAGACTGAGCTTGTGTCTCATCTGTTGTGTGTTACTATAACAAATTGCCCCAAGCGGGTACTTGATGAAGAAAAAAAAAAGATTTATTTCTTACAGTTCTGGAGGCTAGGAAGTCCAAAGTTGAGGAGCTCCCTCTGGTGGAGGCCGGTTTTCTGTGTCACCCCACATCAGAGTGGAAAGAGTGAATGTGAGAGAGAGAGGGAGGAAGGCTGCCATCATCCTTTCATTGAGAGCCACTCTTGTGTTCATGACATTAATCCAGTAAAGAGGGCAGAACCCCCGCAACCTAATCCTAGTAAAGATCCACCTCTCACACTGATGCACTGGATACTAAGTCATCATGGGAACTTCTGTAGACACACTCAAACCATGCAGGTGGAGCTCATCAAGGCAGGACACCTCAAATTCTCCCTTTCCCTCTCCTTCTCTCTCTCTCTTGTAGGTTCTTCAGGTATATCTAGCACAGTGAGGAACTAGGCTTCTCCTGCCCACAACCAAATCCAGGCCCCTTCTTGCCTCCCTGATTACTTGCTGTAACTGCTCAGCCAGTGCCCTGTCTCAACTACTTCCCATCCTACCTGCCAGTGGCTGGATCCTGTCACGGGGCCACATATCTGACCCCGTTATGCTGCACCTCAGAACCATGGACAGCCACAGATCAAAGCTGAGTTTCACTTGAGGGAGGCCCCACTGAATTCAGACAGAACTCAATTCACAAACCAGCTGTACCCTTCCTGAGCACGCTAAGCCTTGAGTTCCTGGTGTATACAATGGGGGCAGTTAAGGGCAATGAGGATCTCAGGAACTTAACAATTTCCTAGGTGGTCATGGCTCTGTTCCAGCCCCTGCTCCTCTTCCCCTCTGCAGCTACCCTAGGACCACAGGCCACTGCCTTATCCAGGTCATCAAATCCAATGCCCGTATCTGGGACTCATCCTGGAATATGTGAAGTCATAGCTGCTCCAGGTCCTCAGCCTGCTTCTCCCAGTTGTTTCCCATCAGGAAATTCTCCCAGGCTCCATAGCACCTCAGCTACAGCACAGTGACTGGCCCAGCTGCCAGGCTGTATGCTCACCATTGTTCTTGCATGGCTCACCCCAAGGAGGACAACAGGACAGCTGGCCCTGCTATGTCTCCTCAAGGGAAAAACCACTGTCTCCTTGGCTCAGCTGGACATTGCTCTGTTTCCTCCCTTCTGCCCTGCCTCAGTGCTCACTCTGCCCCTCAATTCCTTGCTCCTTCTCCCCAAAGCCCTGCTTCACTGAGCAGAATGCAGGAGGACTCTCAGATGGTGCTTGGCTAGGTTTCCACATGTTAGATATTCTCAGATGATTGTCCTTATTTTTGTCATATCTGCATATATCTGTTTTATTATTTGCTTGATTTACATGTTTATCTTGTTGACTCATCTGTTTTTACCTTAGGGAAACCTGATATCATTACCATAGGGATAAACTGTCTTTATCAGACAGGCTGACCATTACAAGACATATTTAAAATAGGATGGACAATGTCCATTCTTGTATCATCTGTAATGTGGCTCCCACAGGTGGGGATAAGAGATCAGGTCAACACCCCCACTTCTCAGATGGAAATACTCAGGCTAGAAGAGGGGCAGGGCCTGAACTGGAACAGTGATAGGGGCAGGGTCTAGGGACCTCCCACTTTTCTCCCTGCCCCCCATTCTTCTCATCTTCCTCTCTTCTTCCTGCTCACCTTCTTTCCTGGATCTGCTCTCTTTCTTTCTTTCTTTCTTTCTTTCTTTCTTTCTTTCTTTCTTT